CCAACGCTCCAAAAATTGTTATTTATCTACTTGGGAGTTCCAACGCTTTGAATACATTGATTAAATTCTACAAAAAATAAACTTGGCGAGAATGCCTACTGCATGAAGTATGCCTATTTACATTTCGTGTAATTGAAGTAATAGCTTTTGCCTGCCCATAAGGTAGGTACTGTTAATCGTTGAGGAGTTCCCTCAACTATCGTACTACTTCATCATCAGACCCTTATTGGCAACCACACCACACCTAGGTATAAAGTTCTCATTAATACAAATTAATCAAACCCAAACACAAGGTAGGTACTGGTCACCGTTTAGGAGTTCCCTCAACTATCGTAGTAGTTCATCATCAGAGCCTTATTGACAACCACACCACCCCTAGGTGTAAAGTCCTCATCAATACAAATTAATCAAACGCTAACACAAGGTAGCTATTGTTGAGCACGGGTAACTTGCTGCCCGACTAGAACCAGCCCCGAACGTACGGCGCGTCGCGTTCCGCGCGCGTCTCAAGGAGCCATCAGACTACCACAAATGGGGCCCATCATGGCTGTTGCCGATACAGAGCCGCGGAGAACCTAACTGGTTACTGAGTCTCCGTCTCGAAGTGCAGGAGTAGGAACGGCCACCCCGTTCATTCAGTAAGAGTCTGAAACTCCAAAAAAAAGATAGCTACTGTTAACTGTTGAGCAGTTCCCTGGCTCCATCATCAGATTTTCTCCAGACCTTCATCAGATGGCAGTGGCTTTAAATAATTAATGAAAAAATTAACAACTGCAGTAGTTGCACCTATAATTTTTAAAAGTTCCCCTAGGTTCCCATGGGATCCCATCATCAGATCCTGGCTTAATGACAATGGAACTAAATGACAAGATTACCCTTCCAAATAACAAAAGAATTTTTGAAATATGTCCAGGCGTCTTCGAGTAATCGAGTGACAAACATAAAAAAAAATCTGTCAAATTGAGAACGTCTTCCTTTTTTTTGGAGTCGGTTAACAAAAGGTGAACTGAACCTGAACTGAACATCTAGGAATCACGCTGGAGCCCAAACCGCTCATCAGAAAATCTGAAACTTTGAGGGTGCGGATAACGTAGGAAAAAAATAAGAAGCGATTTTTCCTAATTCGACGCCTAAGAAGGTCAAAAGTGGGGTAAAAGTTTGTATGGAACAACTTGAATCCTCCGATCTGTTTCAAATTTCGCATGAACATTCTTTAATACCATTGAATGCAGATCTAATTATTATTTTATGAATAGTAAATGTCTAATTCGGTTAGGAGTCAAAAGATTTTAATTTATGTAAATTTCAATAGGTCCTTCTGAGAATCCGCCTCATAATAAAAAAAAACTAAAGTACTGACTTAATTTGAAATTGAATATCATGCATAGAAATAGGCCTTGAATAATAATCGGGCATTAGGCAGAATTTAGATTTTATAATAATAAAATAAGACCGTACTTTCAACTAAATCGATCCATTTATATTATTTGAACGTAACATAATATCACGTTTTTATGAATCTTGTACAATCTCATATCTTGTACAATGTCTGTCTTCTGCCTAGAGGTGCACTTTATGCCACTGTAATACCCACTTTTCACTATTTATGTTACGAGTCCCATGTAATAGGGGGTGAGTCTATTGCCATATACCGGGCACAATTCGAGACTCCGTGCTACTTCTAAGATTTTTTTTAAACCCAGTAATACTTTGCCCCACCTGGAAATTAAACCCGAGACCCCTTGCCCAGTAGTCGCACTTGCGACCACTCAGCCAACGAGGCAGTCATTATTCAAACACCTATTTCATTTAAACAATTATTTGTACATTTATTTTATTTAAACAATAATAATTTAGAAACTAAAGTTTAGCCGGGATAATAAATAAGCTTTAAGTTACCATTGCGGTATTTAAGAAATATCCAACCGTGTCCAATGAACGGCAACTGGCCAGGAAATATTGGAGGTGAACGAGGCTTCCACCAGCAATATGCATGGTACACAACGCTAAGTAGCACGAGTAACACTAATACATACATTATCCAACCACACCACACCACCACAATAATGAACTGAAGCTGTGCTAATAGGCAGCTCATATTTATAATTTTCTTTTTTTTTATACTTTATAGGTCGACGTTTGACCGCCATCTCGCCTGATGGTAAGCGATGTTGTGGCCGACGATGGAGCACGCCTACCTAGGAGCAACCTGTTCACACGGGACTTGAAGACAACCAAGTCATATTTGACGGGAAACACAGTCTCTGGCAAGGAATTCCATTCCTTAGCGGTTCGCATGAGGAAGCTTGACGCGAATAAAAATAAATTTTTGAAGTAAATACTTCTTTAGCGGCTTTGTACACTTTTTTGTAATGGGTAATAAATGTACTCGCGTTAGGACACGTTACGTGGAGTGAATTCTCGGCTTTAGAGATGGTGTCGAACTCGACAAAAAATTCTAATGACGTCATTTTTTCGTCAAATTTTAAAAGTTGCTATTCTGGGGATGTCGAAATCGACATTTGTCGAAGGCTAACTTTCGAGTTCATGTCGAGTGATTCTAAGCAGTAGATACGTCATTAATTATAAATGAATTCATTGAGTTTGGGATTGTACAGTGTTTTATTTTCTTTCGTTTTGAAATAAAATACGGCTTAGCATCTCATACCTACTGAAAATCGGTATAGAATAGACTCTTCGATTTGTGCATTCTTTACAATGAAGCACTTAAGAAAACGCGATCCACTATCGAGCGCTGTAATGGAGTGGTAAAGGGCCGATTTAGGTGTCTTTTAAAGGGCATGGTGTTACATTACACACTTAATAAGGCTACTAAAATAATTAATGTCTGCTGTGAGTTACACAATATTGTGTATAGTATATATAGTGTGTATAGCCCACAACTTTGAATTTTATGATATACCTGAAGAGAGAAAGTTAGTCCTAACTTAAATTAATATTGCCTCTTGTTGCCTTAATTCTTATTATGTATAGACTAAGAATTAAGTCATTTTTTAAATTTACTGAATCTAATAACTTTTTTAACAATCCTCGCTAAATAGACTTTATAGGGCAGTTGCAATATAATAACAATACCAACAAACTTAATTCATTTCCTTTTTTTGTGACTATTATTTAAATATTGTTTATATTGTTTTTTTTTTCAGGGACTTAATCATCCAATGACTTCACCCGCCCGGGTGAGGCGAAAGGGAGTGTCAGACTCTTACTGACTAAAAATCATCCCGGTTCTACTCCTGTACTTCGTGCCGGAGCCCCGGCAACCCGTTAACGATGGCGAATGGCATGGCCTACATACAATGAGACCCGTGCTCAAAACTGTTGAATATCTACGATATCAACTTCAAAGAAGCCTAAAAAATACTCAGAGTCAAATAAACAATCGACAGGAATGAAAAAAGACGGATTAAGTCAGATGGGAACAGAATGGTTACCTACTATATTGAAACTGTAACAGATACACTACGGAAAAGTAGATAAGGTTCCAACAACTTCTAAGTATAGCAATATTTATCGGTGATGGCGACCCCTCGCGTCCAGCTCTTATTCAGACTATGGAATGGAACAAGGGGGGCTGGGATGCTATCTCTTCCTACTGCTGCTGTGTTCTTTCTTCTTTCTTCTGCTGAAATAGTCATGCTAGCTAAAGAGGAGGCGGGGCGTGCGAAGGAACGAACCTCCTCACGCCACAGCCATCGCTAGAGACACTCTGGGCATGGGGATCGCAAGATGATCTGCGGCCACCGTAAGCATGAGCCTGCGGACGCCGCCCGACCAGAACCAGACCCGAGTGTACGACCTTTAAGAGCCATCAGACTACCACAGATGTGGCCCAATAGGGCTGATGCCGATACGGAGCTGGGCGGAAGAAGTCATTGGATGATTTTCCCCACTTTAAAGAAAATCCGTTTTGACGAGAAGAAGTGAACAATAAACATACAAACAAACTTTAATCTAAAATACAAAGACAAAGATTCTGCTATTTTTTTATATTGGATGGGACTGACGTTTGATCTCGCCTGGTGGTAAGCGATGATGTGGCCTACAAGATAATAATAATCCTTAAAGGTACAGGACAAAATACCTACACTAATAGTTTTTGTATATGTTTAGTATATTAAACTGTCAAACACCAAGCGGTCACCGGTGACCGCAACCTATTGTTCTATAATTGTGTCTGTATTGACGGTACTCGACGAGTTAATGTCAGGTCTATGAATTCCGACAACCTGGGTATGTAACTGGTCATGCTTAGCAGTTGCGTTTCTTTTTTTATATATATTTGATGGGTCGACGTTTGACTACTATATCCCCTGGTAGTAAGTAAATTTGAAAACTCATGAGCAACTTCTCGAGTATACCCTTGAATATGTATGTCATGAAATAATTATTTTATTAACTACGTTTAAAAAAACTTACTTCTACCCCCTCTTTTCTTGAAATCTATTATTAAAACTAAAACCTTCCCCTAAGTGTAACAAACATTTTTCTTAAAACTTCATTAAAATCGGTTCAGCCAATAAGAGCGCAAAAATTGACAAAACGTCGTGATTTCAGTGAAATTTGTTAGTGAGGTCTATATTGTTCATTTCAATTAGGACGTGAATCCAGAATGTAACCCTAGGTCAGCCTTAATATATTTAACAAACACGCAGGGGGGTCATTAACTCACGGAGAATCGTAACACCGCGATTCAGTTTATGACGTTACGCTACAGTTCCATCTATGGCAGAGTGACGGAACTATACAGTTTACCGTAGTGCGTGGTCCGCCGTATAGATGTCACTAGTATATGATTTGTTTACATTTTACTATGGTCGTTTGTTACATAGCTTATTTTTAACCCTATTTCCGTTCGATGTTAGATTGGGGGGAAATCTGGAGTCATCCAGATAGGAGTGGCGCGGCCGCAAGTCAGAAGTTTCTTTAGTTTGTAGAGCCTCTTGTAAGTTGCCAATTCGCTCATTAAGACCACTTATTTAATTCCTAGCTCTATAAAACTGTTGTTTGAGGTCTTCGATGAATTTCTGAATATTCTGAGTACCCGTCTTCTTTTTAGTCTTGCAGTTTGGCTAATGACATAGAAACATTTTGAGTGTACCATTTTCCTTTGTTAATTTATTTATATGACTTCGTAGACCATTATTTTCAACTATTATTATATTATGTTTTAATTCATTTTGCGTACTGGCAACCTCAGCCCGAAGTTGCTTCATAGATTCGTCAATTTCCTGAAAACCGATGACGTCTAATAAAGTGTTAAGTGTTGACATCTAAATACTGCGTGACAATATTTGCTCGATAACAGATAACGATGTGTTGTGCTTGTGCGTATCATTAAAAGATTGTTGATGTTCATGTTGATCACTTATTGAGCTTTTTGGTGTGGACCATTGCATTTCACATACTGTTTTCGATGGTTTGGAATTGTGTATACAAAGCATGGTTAAATCCTGACTGATTTGTATTCTTTTTGTGAGGCAGGAGCTTCTTTTTCCTAATTGTAACATTAGTATCACCAGAAGCAACAATTTCCTTAGAGAATGATGTACAACGCCATAGATTTTTTGATTTTGGGCTTTTTAATCTGTACGTCTGAGCAGGATAACCATCACAGTCTGGTTCGAAATTATTTTTGCAGACAGAACACAAGTTGCCGTCCGCTTTACATCCACAGTTTTTTTTACATTACTGTCTGTCATTACTGTCAAAAAACCCGTACCCGTCGTGTGTCTAAACATGGATCCACGCGAGACACAATGTATTTTCTATTGTGTCTCATATTGGTGCATTCAAACGGTTAACGCTAAATAACACCTATTTTGTATAAATGTAACTAATAGGCTAACCCCCTATTACATGGGACTCATAACATAAATAGTGAAAAGTAGGTATTACATTGTACAGTGGCATAATGTGCACCTCTGCCTACCCCTTCGGGGATAGAATGCGTGATGTTATGTTATGTAGGTAATATTTAAATTAGGTAACCAATACACTTCCGACGATGTTTGGAACTTTGAAATTTGTAATTTAACTTCGTAATTAATGAATACTATTATTGAAAAACACTCTCACTGGGTGATTGGGTCTAGTTTTACAGAATCACTTACTTTACTACACTATTTCTGGACTAATTATATTTTTAAACGTATTTTATTATATACAATATATATATAGCGCGCTTGTTGTTTATGTAAATCTAGATACATCGCCATTTAGCGACTGAAAACTTACGGGACTGAATACTATACCTACGGGTAGAATACTTGTGGAATTGTTTATTTTTTGAAATCACCAAAATGAAAAACATATCACAATAAATATAACTGGATCGATGCTGATGGGATTTGTTCCATACAATGGGAATTAATCTTGGAAAAGACTAATTAAAAAATCCAAAATTTGCCAGAAGTCATTATTATTAGCTGACGAAGTCGCAAGGAACAGATAGTTTATAAAATGAAGTGACATTAATAAATTATTGAATAAACGTATGAAACGAGATACGATACATTAAGACAGAGTATGTTAATTCGTCGAATCCATTAAACATGTTGACTTTTTGTTCTTTTAAGCATTTCCAAATAAAGCAGTATTATTTTATTAACAATAATATTATATACTTGGACCCGGGAACGTCCTTAAACTGCGACCAGACACCGAGGAATGGACTGCAGCATTCCATAAATACATCGGTGATTTAACTGCGATCCCCAAGCCACCTGCCAAGCGTGGGGATTATGGCAACCCTCACACACACACACGCACACCTCTGAAGCTCACTTTACCATTGTCTTGGGAGATTCCAATGCGAAGGTGGGCACACCGAACGGCGAATATCTAAGAATGGGACCATTTGGGATCAAATCAAATAATAAAATTATTCTATAATGCCTTGATACCATTACTTGAAATACTTACAAGAATTAAAATTCTAATTGAAAAACGCTTGTAAAAATTTTATGTGGCAGTAAATAGTTGGTTGTTTTAAGACTATCGATGGAATTTTTAACTCGTTCTCTTTACGAATCTAGATTTTCAATGACATTCATGCTATTTGTATACAATATCATCATTAAAATGTACATACCTATTAGGTATTTAATTTGTCAGCCGGTTTACTTCCTTTAGTTTTATAATTCTCATATAACGAGACGGCTAGTTCCATCGTAATTATTGTTATTGTGACTGTTATGTTGGTGGATTGTCAAATTATAGTCGGATTTACTTTACTTGGATTTATTACAATAATGTGCACTGTGCAGGGTGCACGACGTGTACGCACACCAGATTATGACAGGTAGACAACAACGTTAATAACGAGTGTCCTAACTTATATAACACATTATAGTGAGGAGGCCACTACTCACTAATTAGTGATGTTGATACAGACTAAACATACATGTAACAGTGACTATATATTTTTTACTCAACTCACGCTGAGAAACTGAATTGGCGATGGGCTGGGCGTGTGGCTAGACTTAACGACAATCGCTGGACTTAAACTAAAATAGCAACATCATGGTTAGGACCATCGGGTCATAGAAAAAGGGTTGACCAAATACACGCTAGACAGATGACATCACTAAAGTAGCAGGTGCCCACTGGATGAAAGTAGCACAAGACAGACCGCAGTGGCTGTCCCTGGAGGAGGCCTTCACCTTCAAATGAGAAAAAAAACTGCAACTATAAAAAAACTCACGGTTTTTTTTTCACTCACCTCACTTTTTTATATTATGCATACTGCTTTCTTTTTTTATTTATTATAAGAGAAATGTATTGTGTGTAGCAAGAAATAAAAAGCTTTTTTATTTGGACTGCCTCGTTGGCCGAGTTGTAGCAAGTGCGACTTCCGGGCAAGGAGTCCTCGGGTTCGATTCCCGGGTGGGGCAAAGTATAACTGGGTTTTAAAAAAAATCTCAGTAGTAGCACGGAGTCTGGAATTGTGCCCGGCATATAGCAATAGGCTCACCCCGTATTATATGGGACCCATAACCTAAATAGTGAAAAGTAGATGTTACATTGTACAGTGGCATAATGTGCACCTCTGCCTACCCTTACGGGGATAAAAGGCGTGATGTTCCGTTATGTTATATTTCTTTTGTAAGCCGATTTATTTCTTTTAGTTTTATAATTCTCATACAACGAGACGGCTGCTTGCATCGTAATTATTGTTATTGTGATTATAATTATATTTTTTACTAGCGACCCGCCCCGGCTTCGAACGGGTGCAATATGCATATCTTATACATATAAACCTTCCTTAAGAATCAATCTATCTATTTAAAAAAAACCGTAGTTTTACGAAGTTTTTTAAGATCTAAGCATACATAGGGACAGACAGACCGCGGATAGCGACTTTGTTTTATACATATACAAAAGGCTCTGATTGACAAGTGATATTAAATGTGACTATTTATTTGGTGATGTAACAATTGAAACAGAATTTTTACGAAATATATTGGAAAGTGCTAAAACGATTTAAAACAAAATAACCTGTGTTTGAAACTGAACTGGATACATTCAACTCGGTTTAATAACAAGTTCCTGCTCAGTACCCATCAAATGTTAGAGAATTATAAAGGAAAAAAAAATAAAAATACCGTTTAAAAAATTTCTAAATATGACCTTTGGACGACAACTAGTGCCAGCAATACCACAAAGCGGCGAATAGGCGAACTAAAAATAGAACAATTTGCCACCAGAGGTCGTAAATAGTGATATAATCAGACAAATGTATTATTTCGTAAATAATATTTTTTCGAAATATAATTAATGTGGGTGAAAATATAACACACCGTAACCATAACTTTTTTTTTTTTTTTCTTCCTTTGGCAACTGAGTCTCCAACACGGTGTTGTCGACTATACTGCCAGTGTCGAGTGGTGACGGCAGATTAATGCACCGTCGACTTATAACTTTGCGGTAGTTTTTAGTTGTTAGTAGCTGAAAAGGACAAAAACAATTGGGTTAGTAAACATATACCGTCAATAGACCTAAAATTATAATATTATTACCTAACACCAGATAAATAATTAAATAGAAACAATCATAACACACAATATTTACATGATTACACACCATTATATTTTAATACTATTTTCTTTTATAAATTTGGACAAGCACTTAATTAATTTGGGAGAAAAATTTGTTAGGAGGGAGTGGAAGTTGATTGGAAGAGGGATTTGGATTTTGGGAAGGTTTCCATATAGATCGAAGGATTGGGAATTTAGAGGGCAAGAGAAAAATATGTGGTCTAGGGTTCCCTCATCAAGACCACATTCGCACAGCGAGCTGTCACGTACGCGGATCTTGGCGAGGAATACCGGGCTAGAACAGTGACCGAGCCTGAGTCTGCACAAAGACGAAACAGCATCTCTGGGGAGCTTCTTATGCTTGAAAAACCAAGGTTTCCGCTGTATGTCGGACTGGATGCTTGCGTAATAAGCTCCTTTTCGTTTAGAGGAGTCCACCCACACTGCAGCCCACGAGTCGAAGAGCTTAAGTTTGGTATCCGCGCGTATGTCATACCCATACACAATGTAGTGGTGACGTTCAACGTTATTCACGGCCGCAAACTTTGCCAATCTGTCAGCACACTCGTTACCACATATACCAGAGTGGCCAGGAATCCATGCAATCTCAATATTTAATCCGTCTTTTTGACAGGAGAAAAGCAGACTTTTTATTTGCATTATTATACTACTATGCGTTCGGGAGTAAAGCTGGTCTTGACCGAGCGCTTGTAGGCTACTTCGAGAATCTGAGAAGATAACTGAGTTACTGAGGTTGTGCGATTTGATAAATTTGATGGACTCCAGAATGCCAATACATTCCCCAGTGAAAACAGAGGCTTCAGGAGGACATTTAGAGAGGAGAGCAATTCTTGAATTCTGGTAATATGCTGCCACTCCTGTGCATCCGTTTCGGGACAATTTGGATGCATCCGTGTAAAACATATTCCAGCCGTTCCAGTAATTGCTCAACGCGCGTCCAAAATCACGCCTGGCGTCCACCGATGATTTTGAGATGCCCAACCTCAGAACTAGCTTTGGCTTAAAGTGGATAACCTCATATGCGGAAGAAAAAACCGGGAGAATAGGGTGTTGACTGATAGGTGCAGAGAGGTTTTTAAGCTCCCTATACCTAACAATCACGGGTGGGACAGGTTTATTGTTCCAATATGGAGAGGAACCATAGGAACAGTGTATTTGTTCAAGGATAGGGAGGAGGGGATGAGAAGAGCGGGTCAGGACTTTAGATACGAAACGGTCTGCCAGGTATTGTCTTCGAAGGTCGAGGGGGGGCTCTGCACATTCAACCTGAAGAGCATTTATGGGGGACGACTTCATAGCTCCAATAATTATTCTTAGGCATTTGGCCTGGATGGAATCTAATTTTTTAAATGCTTCCTTATTGCATGGTGCTATAAGGAAACAGCAATAGTCCATCACACTCCTGACCAATGCATTGTAGATGAGTTTCAGTGTGTAGGGGTGAGCACCCCACCATACCCCAGCTAGTGCTCTGAGTACACATACTGACCGCTCGCACCTTTTAACCACAGCGTCCACATGATCTACCCCCGACATCCTAGAATCGAGGATGACGCCTAGGAACCTAGCCTTCCTCATAACTGGAATAGGCTGACCGTCTATCTCTATACGAATATCTGGAAGGCGACGTCTGCGTGAGAAGATGACAGCTGAGCTTTTTGGGGCGCTTAAAGACAACCCATGACTAAGAAGCCATTGGTGTAATGAGGCCAAAGAGACATTCATGGAGGTGGTAGCATCTGTTATAGAGCTGCTAGTGACCATTAATGCGATATCGTCAGCATACTGGAGGATTCTACAATCATAATTTAGACAGGAAGGGAGGTCATGAGTATAAATATTATACAGGATGGGACTAAGGACAGACCCCTGAGGTAAACCTCTCCAGGCCGTTCTCTGTGTTGGGTCATCCTCAGGAGTCCTTAGTTGGAGGGTACGGTTGGAAAGGATGCAGCCTATAATTTGGCAAATCCTACTCGGGATTCTCAGCTCTTGCAGTTTCTGCCTGAGAAGGGGTAGGAGAACCGAGTCATAAGCCGATGAAACGTCCAGAAAGACTGCCACCAACGACTCATCCCTGCTAAGGGCCAGTCGGATAGCTGACGTGAGGGTACCCACACTATCAGCCGTACCCAGACCTTTCCTGAAGCCGAACTGAGCCGCCGGAAACAGGCCCCGGCCTTCCATCGACCATTCCAACCGGGTCTTTAAAAGGTGCTCTAAAATTTTTATAAGTATGGACGATAGGGCAATAGGTCTGTAAGACGAATGGTCACCAGGATCCTTGCCAGCTTTTAACAGCGGCATAATAACCTGAACCTTCCAGGGAGGAGGAATATAGCCGAAAGCAAGACAGAAATTGACCAAGTCAAGGTAGTACTGTTTGGTTTTGGCTCCTGCCTTAACCAAGAAGGAGTAGGGGAACCCATCAATCCCTGGTGCGGAGTCTTTTACGTGGTTTAGAACCATTTGAAGCTCGTCCATGGAGAAATTCCTATCGAGTGGGTCAAGCGATTCCTCATGATGACCCAAGCAAAATTCATCCTCACCGGGAACATACAGTGGAGCAATACTGGAGAAGAAATTGTGGCTCAGACCTTCAGGCATGATAGAAATTGAAGGAGGCTTCATGGAGTTTCTGAAGCTCTTCACCCTCTGCCAAACTGCTGCTACCGGTGTGGACGGGCTCAGGGACGTACAGAATCTCTGCCACCCCTGCTTCTTCTTTTTTTTAAAAAGTTTCCTTGACCTAGCCAACATCCGCTTGAAATTAAAGAGGTTTTCCAGGTTCATGTCTCGGTTATATGCCTTTTCGGCCTCATTCCTGGCTCTTATCATGGCAGTGCATTCACTATCCCACCAAGGAGGGGACGGGATTTTGCCTTTTGGTGTGTTTTTCAATGGAAAGCAATCTTCAGCTGTAGAAGATATCAACTCCGAAAACTTTGAAAAACACTCCAAAGCATTCTCAGTATTAATAAGTGGGAGAGAAGAAATGCGAAGGTCTAACAATTTTGAATACAGGTCCCAATCTGCTTTTTCTAAACGATATTTTAATAGGGGGGGGAGGGATTTATCGGGAGTGGATTTAGAAGGGTTTTTAATTATTATGGGATAGTGATCACTACCATAGGTCATATTCAAACAGCTCCAATTCAGCATGCTTGCCATATTAGCTGAGCAGAAGGTTAAATCCACACAACTGCTTCTTTGCCCAAATGCAGATCTACGGGTTGGGCTGCCGTCATTAATGGCACATAGGTTAAGCTCATCCAACATTTCTACTAACTCGGTACCTATGTTGTCGCAGGTATCTGAACCCCATCTAAAGTGATGGCAGTTAAAGTCGCCCATTACAAGTAATGGGCCACTTACTGACATTAATAAGTTTTTAATTATAGCCAAATGGTTAATATGAGGGTGTGCAATATAAAACATAAAAATATTTATATCCTCAGCCTTAACAGCGACAACATTTATGTCATCGCCAACGAAGGGTAGAGGGATCTGAGAGAAGGGTACTTTGTTACTTACTAACAAAGCACAACCTCCATAACCATCAGATCTGTCATGTCTGACAACACTGAAACACGGGACTCTGAAATTAATATTCGGTCGGAGCCATGTCTCAGCAATGCCACAAATAGTTGGTTTAAATTTGTTGATTAGGTGTAGTAAGTCACTCTTCCTGGGAAGAGTACTCCTCACGTTCCACTGGAGAATTGTTAGTGGGTGGAATGTTATAGATATAATCTAAGATGGTAGCTAATCTATGGGCGACGTGGTCAGGTACGGTTTGAGAAGGGTTGGATAACACTGCCATAAGCATGCTCGAAATTATGTCTAATATGTTCTTGGAGCTTTGAGTATTGGTTCCGGATTCCACAGGGAAAGCGCAACCGTTTTGTGAGGGAGAAAATGAGTAGTCATGGATAAGGGCCTGGTGGGCCTTCTTATCGTAGCTGGGAGAAAGAGGGGCATGGGATTTAGGTTTGACAAAGACAGTTTTTTTATAAGATAGTCTCTGTGGGGATGATTTTTTTATTGGTGTTGTTTGTATATAATTGGTGGATTTGGATTTAGATACCTCGGCATATGACTTTTTAACTGCAGGGAATACTTGGCTTGCTTCCGCATATGAAATTGCCTTTTCTGCCATCAGAGCCTTAATGCTCTTCTGGCGGCCTAACTCCGGGCAAGCACTGTTATTAGCAAAGTGGTTGCCATTGCAATTAATGCAATGTGCAACTTCCTCTGATACTAAGCATCCATCGCCAGGATGATCCTGACCACATCTAAAGCAACGCGGCTTGGAGCGGCACAGAGTGCGAGTGTGACCAAAACGACAACAGTTGAAACACTGTATTGTGGGGTATGTGTACAATTCTACGGGGAGAGCAGAGTAAAAACAAAAAACTTTCTTTGGAAGAATTTGCCCATCGAAAGTCAGCACCACAGTTTGGGTAGGCTTCCATTCCGTACCATTTTCTGATGACACCCTACGGTTCATCCGTCTTGCTTTGATAGCAATTCCACATCCAGCAGGAACCTTGATGTTCCTGATAATTTCTTCCTCTGTCCACTCAATGGGAACATCTCTTACAATACCCATTCTTGTTATATTGTATTGAGGGATTGAGGTGGTATAATTCTGAGCTACAACACAGTTAACCAAGAAACTGTTTGCGTCTTGGTGGGAGACAAATTCAACGGACACTCTATTTCTACCTAGTCGTTTCACTCCTCCAATTTTTATATTGCTTATATTATTTTTCGTCAAGAACATCCCGAATTTGATTGGGTGAAGCGTAGTACCAGTTGTCTGGGAGTCCTTGAGCGAAACATGGATAATATAAGGGGGGTTGTCTCTAGCCGTGTAACACTGCCTACCATTTATGCTTTTAGCTAGTTTTGGAGGGTTGTTGCGGGAGATAATAGGAGAGCCTGCAGGTCGCTTTCTATTATGATTAGGTTCAGAATCCATTAGGTCTATATCTTGGTTGTCGTGGGGAAGTGTGACACATAACACGGGACTGTATTCCGATTTGTCGGGAGGATCAGGGGGCTTCTCCTCGTCCATCGTTAAAGAGTAAGGAAAAGGTGGGAAGGAAAAAGAAGTATTAAAACTTAAAACTACAATACCTTAATAAAACTTACACACACAATTACACAGCACAAAATTAAAAAAAATCAATTTAGTTCACTATAAAAAAGATCACTAAAATTGACAACAATCGTAGTACCAATAAAAGCACGTGCGTAACCTTCACCACTACCAACGAAAGTCTCAACCATAACTTATTTAGAACAAGCTCTTTGCCTGACATTACTGCAGACAACTAGGATCTTTCTTGATCAAACTATGGCAAGTTTATCAAATACTTCATTAAAAATGAGCCCAACAATACTAGATCTACAGGAAAAAGTGAAATAATTGTCTAGTGACCTACAAAGCGCCCATTTAGAAATTGAAAATTTAAATTCGGAAAACTATAGATTGAAAACGGATGTCCAAAAATATATTAAAATGATAAGAAATTAAATGACATCGACGTATAGTAAATTATTTATCGCCGCGACCAGAGCGCAAACGAAAATCTAACAAAAGCTAAAAATTAACGCCTGCAAGGAAAAAAAGCAACAAAACACATCGACGCTAAATAAAACATTAGACGAACGAACGGATGTTGATATGATGACCACGGATGTTGTCGTTACCACCCCAATAAAAGTGACAAAGACTGCAAATATTGGAATGTAATTCATTACCAAGTTCTGAACTGAAATCAACACTTATACATAATATCAGTAGGGCCAATTTACTATTTAACTAATTTAAACTAATATACATCACCAAATATTAAATACACTGATCCACAAACAAGCACAGAACAAGCCAATATCCTGAAAGAGGAAGTAAAGAAAAATAAGGTAATTATCATAGCTGTTCAGCAAGGGTGCCGAACTCAAAGAATCTTGCAAAACCTTATAGGTGAAGATTATAATAATATGGTTCAATGATTCTGGAAGCCGGGAGCGTGTCTTCGAGAAATTTTTAAAACGAAGAAAATTGATATAGGTTTTTTGACTAAAGATTATTGTTTTGGGTGGCGTAAATGATAGCAACCCTGAAAAAATTCAAATACTTATGCCTTAATAACTTTTTAAATATTACTAGAAATCTCTGGAGAATTAGGTAATACTCATTAATATGAAAAAAAAAAACAAATTATGAATTGAAGTTTATTTGTTCTCACTACGTTCATTCGACCTAAAGAGACATGAATTACTCTAAGCAAATACCAAAATATCGCTTTTTACCATTACACATATCTCAATGAATGCTGAAAGAGATATTAAAAATCACGTATCAGCGAAAATATGACAAATAGCAGTCCGTCCTGGCTTCGCACGGGGTAGATAATTATTTATTTTTGGAAATTTGGATTGTTGTAGTGACATAACTACAATAGTTGGACATATGCTACCGCGGAGATTTTTATAGACATTATGATGTTCTTCAATATTGTTGTAAATTACTTTGTTCTATCGCTAATAGTTTCGGCAGCGCATTCGACGAAAGACATTTTAAGACTCATTTTTCTACACCTTCGGTTACATTGTTCAAATTTTACCAAGGATCCCTGATTTTTTTTTCAAAATGAAATGTAGCCTATATGTCAAATTGGAAGAATGTAGCATGCATTCTATTGGTGAAAGAATTTTTTAAATCAGCCCAGTACTTTTTGAGCCGTTTCATTACAAACATACAAAAATAGGTACAAATCTTTCCTCTTTATAATATTAGTATAGATATAGATGTCTAAATTGTAAATGTTGTCTAAATTTTTAAAAAATATTGTTATCACTATCCATTGACTCGCTCGTCGGCCAAGTGATCGCAAGTGCGACTGCCGTCTCGAGTTCGTTTCCCGAGTCGGGCAAAATATTACTGGGATTAAAAATAAATCTCAGGAGTAGCACGGAATTTGGAATTTGTGCCCGGTATATGGCAATAGGCTCACCCCCTATTACATGGGACTCATAACATAAATAGTGAAAAGTGGGTGTTACATTGTACAGCGCATATACAATAGTTTTGCTTATGTTGAAAGCGGATACATAAATGAAGAAATATTGTTACAAAATAAATCTTCTGTGATGAAAATTATCCAAAGTAACCTCCTATTTTGCATGTCCAATGTCAATATTACTCCTATAATTAGATTACTTCTAGATAATTATTCAAAAAAACCAGCTATGCGAAATCAGCTATCCTTTGCGAATAATAATAAAATATTTAAAAATTTAATGTCTATTTCTACTCAAAAATTATAAGACCGGTTTAACAGGCCTTTTTGGGATCGTTTCTTATTTTTTTGTTTCATTTAAATTCATCATTAAGTCGTGTAATATAAAACTGTTCTAATGAGTTTGTTTCTTGCTCATTTCTTAAAGTCAAATGTGGAAATACTCAAACGTCATTCAATTTTACGTTGCGCTTGAATATACCTACTTCTGTCACTGCAATTTCTTTGTTAAATGACAGAGGTAGCACGATATTTAAGTACCTACAACTTATAATACAAACCATATCAATGCCACACATACAATAAGTTTACCTTGTTTGTGTAAATATGTAAGAAATTCAATTGTTTTTCCCCTTTCAGTATTTGGACGAAATTCATTTATTTCAATTAGACCAGGAAGCCACTTTTGGTCGTGTCCATTTAAAAGTTACAGTCTATAGGTTAGTCCTCCAGTCTACTTCCAAAGCAGGAATCCTCCTATGGAGAAGAACGAGCAGGAAGTTTTAAGTGTGGGAGAGCAATGCTTCGGCACGAATGGGCCGTCTCGACCCTTGTGATACCACGGCCTCACAGAAAACCGACGTGAAGCATCGCTTGCGTTGTGTTTCATCGTGTGCGTGGGGGTATCGGAGGCCCAATTACCACCTTCACCAATTCCACCATCCTTCCCCAAACCCACAGAAATGAAAAACCTACAAAATAAACGATTTTACGTCTAAAATGAGAATTATTTACATTGCACATTTATACTTTAGTTTTGGATTTTGTATGGCTGGAACTGACAACCTGAGTGTGTCGCCTTCATTGATTTTTATTATTAAATAGACACTCTGACTCTGACAAACTGTCACTTGAATTCGTAGTTTTGCATATGACAAGTCGTAATAAAAACAAATTACACATAGCTGAATACTAATATTAGTCCTTGAAGACCCACAATATTTAATTTTAGTCGGGGCTAAAACTACGAAAGTTGCCGGTATCCTTTTGATTATGTTAACCCGAAGTTTGAAAAACAACCAAAAAAGCTCTTTATATTTACTCCATGAAATTATGAATAAAACAGTCAAGTGATGTCTAATAGAGGACATTATATCAACGTAAAAGTACGCGATAATATGTATAACTGTTACAGTTATGCCATAATAACTATAAACACGTTTAAAAATGTTCAATAGTAATGTCGCATCGGTACAAACCTGGCCACATTATTAGTAGGTACCATAGTAATATCCTAGAAAACTCAGAAAAACGGAGACTATTTGTTAAATCCCGGGACTTTCTATGTGAAATAAAATGTAATAAATATAAATATATATTTATTCGGCATAAAACATGCACGCCAGGAACAAGAAAAAAATATTTACATTTTAACAATTTTTTTATAAATGGTTTAAAAACAGATAGCGAAAGAAAAAAAAGAAAAAGATAATAAGCTACATTATAAAAACTGAAAACAATCTAATAATAGCGGGTACTACACGGTGTCGGCGGACATGCCCTATCCGAAAGGGTTACCAACTCAGCAAAAAGCAAGACGCACTGAGCACCCACCTAACACTGCATTTGTTACCGTGGAATGTCCCTAGGAAAAGACTCATTCAAAATCCTAAATTCTGCCAAAGTCATTATTCTACGCGGACGAAGTCGCGGGCAACAGTTAGTTAGTTAGTAATTCAGCAGATTATAACGATAAAAAAATTCTTGAAATTGTACTGGGAGCCTATTCAATTGGGTACCTACCAACTAGTCAAATTCAATACATTTTTCGAACTGTCAAAAACGATAAGAACGTTATTTGAGTGTCAAACAGCATACTCATTTCTTTAGAATTTGCTAGAAAAATATTAAAATTAAGTTGATCATAAAATCAATTAATGAACGTGTGATTATTTTTTATATATTTATATATTTTATTGTATCAAACAGTCGAAATAATTTTGATGATGGAAAGTATTCAATTCAACAAACAAACAAACAAAAATCAAATCTTTCCTCTTTATAATATTACTATTTATAGATTATCTTTGTACATAAATAAGCGATTTCTACTTAGGTAGGCTCAGAACGCGGTTAGGCCTTGAAAATGTACATAGCAGTGGGTTTAGTGTTGTTATGTGTCGTGCTCGCTGTGTGGTCGACGTGGATAAGGCAGAAACCTGATGCACCTCCTATGATGCCAGGCTTTCTCCCGATAATAGGACATTCACATCTTCTTATCGGAGACCGTAAACGTGAGTTAATATCATTTAACTTTATTTTTTCATTTAATTTACAAGAGAAAATCCTAACCTGGGTCACTACATGTTTAAATATCATACGTCTGGTTTTAGATTTGTGTTGACTTGTTATACTGTAATATTACAGATCTCTGGAAGTATATAAAATACTTTACCTTAACATCACTCAAGTATGGCGGAACTTTAGAAATATGGTTTGGCTTAAAAAGACATTATGGTAAGAAAAATCAGATATTAATGAAAAGAAAAATAATTGCGTCATTCTTAATAATTTTGGAAATCTTCCTTTTTAAACAAGGTTAAAAATAACTAAGAAAGTACAGGTAGTTTCGATGGTTTGGGTATTACTGTCCAATGTATATTTGTCGCTTTTAAATTTATATCTCGCAAATAAATATCGTGAGTTGTCATAACTATTAAACTGTACAATTATTTTATTAACACCAATAAAGACTTAGGAAACTAAGCCCTGCAAAAAATGAGTACGGAAAAGCGTAGCAAAAAACACCCAACTCTTTTTCTTTTGCATC